CTGACTCACTCACTTACTTACTTACTTACTTACTTACTTACTTACTTACTTACTTACTTACTTACTTACTTACTTATGCACTTGCCTGCTTACTTACTTACCTACTTACTTACTTACTGACACCTGTTACCCTTAATGTAGCATAGGTCGCTGAACAGAGGATTATTTTCTAGTTAGAGTTTCTTTAGGGAGTTGTATTTCTACGGGATTGGGTCACTGACCCCATGCCCAATCCTCCTCGTCTCTCCGATCTTATAACTGTCAGTAACCCTAGATTCGCTCTAGACGGAGTTTCAATGACCAATAATTCTTAAAAATATTTTTTGAAACATAACAACTTTATTAGTAATACTCGATATCAACTAACTGGAGGCTATTGAAAAATGTTTCTCCTATTGTAACTAGCCAGTTTAAAAGTTTCATGTTACGCTATCCTGCATACGGTATTGTACATTATTCCTTCAGAGTATCACTTAACTGCTCGTAGTTATTTTAGTTACAAGTAACTTAATTCCCAGTAATTATGCTATTCCACCTCACGTAGAGTATCATAAAACACTAACGAGATGATTTGAATAGTCATTTGTTTTTTTTTCAATGATTTATGAAAAGTTTTATTGTTTACATTTTTAAATTGTCCACTTTGTGAAATGATTATCATTTGAATGAAATAAACAAACTGATAACTAGTTAGAAAAAAAAACAACTAACTAACATGATTCAACATGAAATCACGTGATAGCTGGCCTAAAATGTCTGGTAGATAATAATCTAAATAAGACTTAATTAGGGTTTCATTTAATCAATCCAAATATCATTGAATTTTGAACCTACAATTTTCTCTTTAGTTTAACTACTCATAGTGTAGTGAACGAGAACACAGGTGGGGCAACCGAATTGTATTTAACAAAAATTACAGAGTTACTCAGTAAAATTGGAAAACCATATCGTAAATCGTTGTTAATTTGCAAAATATCAGTTCATCATATCGAACTGGACTGTTCCTGTTGCAAAACATCAATCCATTGTCACTATTCATGCGTTTCATACAAATTCCATTGTGTTCCCACTCTTCCTTTCTTGATCTTCCCCCATCTTCTGCTGCCAGACATTACGTTGACACTTACGTCATATACTACTTATAAGTAGCTCGCACCACATTCATAGTTTTAATTTAAGAAAAATAAACATTCTACTCATTGGAACTGATATTGACAAAAAAGGATGCATGAAATGAGTTTTTTTTTTTAAAAAAAGTGACATGTTTCTTAGTGGTGTTGATCATGGATCGTTGTGATGGTCGGAAAAATGATTTTTTTTGTAGGTTCTTTTAAAGTTATGTAACTGTGTGACGACGCATTCAAAACGGTACTCTAACAATTTCTAGTTTCGATTCTTTATTTCTCGTTGATTTATGTGTGCTTAATGAATTTTCTGGCTCACCATCTTATTCTCTTGTTCTTTCCTCTTCTAGATAACCTCACACGCCAACTCACAGATACTCACAGCACACAACGTACCTCCTGGATAAACGTAAACTAACCAAAGGCTGAAGTTACATAACTGACAAATTGATATTCTTCATAAGTATTATGACAATTAGCAGAAATATCTTTGCATCATACCCAATGGTATACAGGATGGAAAATGACACTAATGTACGTTCATTTACATATCTGTAGCATATCAATACCATGTATGAGATTAAATGTAACAACGTTTTTTCCGGATCAATCATGCTATGACCAATGTTTTATTTGTTTGATCGTCGGTGTTGATTGTAGCATTGTTTCCAATCTGATAACTGAGAATCAGTTTCGTAATACGTCCAGGCTTTATTGTCAGTTCAGTTGAATCATATAAAATTAACATGTCAGGCATTACAAGGAATACAGTGGACAGTTTGGATGCAGCTGGACTATTCGGATTTCACAAATGATATCGCTCTTCTATCCCACACTCAGAAACAAATGCAGGAGCAGACAACCAGTGTAGCAGCAGCCTCTGAAGTAGTAGAGCTCAATATACACAATGGAAAAAGCAAGATCCTCCGATACAACATAGCATGCACTAAACAAATCAAACTTGGTGCAGAAGCTTTGAAAGATGAAGAAACCGATAGATATTCGGGCATTATCATTGATGAGCTAGACGGATTTGATGTCGGTGTAAACATATGGATCAGAAAAGCAAGGACAGCATTTCTACAAATGAAAAACATCTGGAACTCAAAATAACTGTCAACCAACATCAAAGTCAGAATTTTCACTACAAACGTAAAGACAGTTCTGCTGTATGGAGTAGAAACTTGGAGAACCACAAAAGACATTATCCAGAAATCTAAGAATTTATTAACAGTTGTATACACAAAATACTCTAAATCCATTCGCCAGATACGGTCAGTAAAACCTACTGTGGGAGAGAACACTCGAGATTCCAACTGAGGTAGAAATCAGGGAGAAGTGCTGGAGGTAGACAAGACATACACGGTGGGAACCGCCCAACCGCTTTACAAGGTAAGCCCTGAATAGGAATCATTATGGCCATTGGAAAAAAAAGATAGATCGAAGACACACTGCTCCGAGAATCGGAAGCAGACATGAAAAGAATGCGGAACTGGAAAAGAAGACCCAGGACAGACAGAGTAGGTTAGAGAATACTAGTCAAGTCTCACTCTCAAATTTCATCAAGTCAAATTATGGTATAAACTTAATCTCGTAACAGTAACATGCTAAATTTCTACTATCATTTTGATTAACCTACACAGAATCCCAGTGCACCTCTTATACATACATATAAATCCAGTCTTTTGAAGGATTGAACTTAACATAAATCTTCCAATCGAATTTACTACAATATCTCTACAGCTTATCAACAATTAATTCACATCAGTAAATAAGTGGACCCTTTAGAAAAAAAAACCACTTAATGGCAATTA